CTGCTCAAAACTCAAGGATATGGAAACCCGGATACGGGTTCACTTTCAACTGGTTATGGCGACTCAGCACCCAACAACACACTGTTCACACGCACTGGACCATCCTGGACGTCTCACGCATGATGCTGTGCGCTCACACAACACACATGCCACTGAACACTCTGGGCATCCGCAGAGCACCGTGGCATAAGACGCTGAGACAGTACTTCCGCATGGCTTCCGCATGACTGAAGGAANTTTTTTTTTTTTTTTTTTTTTTTTTATGTTCGCGTTCGGAGGATTTTGGGCGCTTGTTCGCGTTCGCCTCCGAACGCGAACACGGTGCTACGTAGATTCATTCCTTCATTTAATATTCGATTTTTTTTTTTTTTATTTTTTTTTTTTTTTAAATAATTGATTGATTGATTGATTGGTAGGGGCAGGGTCGCCCCACCCCGTCTTTGATTGATTGATTGATTGATTGATTGATTGGTAAGGGAGGGGTCGCCCCGCCCCCCCGCCACCCACCAAGCGCCCGCACACACACACACACAAGTGAGTTGTCCGCGCGCGGGCGAGGGCGCAGCGCAGCAACGCACACACACACACACAAACACACTTACTTGTTCTCTCTCTCTCACACACACACACACACACACACACACTCCCTCACTCACTCACTCACTCACAATCAATCAATCAAACCCCTTTTTTGTTTATTTATTTTGAAATTCTGCATCTGCATTTTTATTTATTTATTTATTTATTTTTACCATCTGCATTTTTTTAAAACACCTCATACCCCTGCAAAAAACATAAATTTATTTCTAAAAAAAGTACAGGTCAACTCAGGGACCATATATCTCATGATAAAAAATGAAAAAAAAAAAATCCTGCTTTTTTTTTATTTTTATAATCCAATTTAGTTTTTGATTTTTTTAAAATCCTAAACAAAGTCGGATTCCAAACAAAAATATATGGGGTTGTAGGGCTTAAAATTCCCTACAACCCCTTTTTTTTTTACCTATTATTTAATTCAGAAAAATTCTGGTAAAATCGGGTCCGCGGCGCGGACTAGGACGGTCGAGGACGCGGCCACGTATGCGGCGGCCATCCGAGATCAGCCCCGCAGACGCGTCCGCGGGTGTGTCATTGCTTTGACTACCTTGTCAATCCTCCCCTTATACACATCACATCTGCGTTAGGGTTTCATACCTAGGCAGAATGACATGTCCTCACATCACTGTATAGGGACGTTGGACCCGATTTCCAGCTGATACACATCATAATGTTGTACAGGGAAGCTAGGGTTTCGTGTCTTGATTGAATGACATATCCTCACATCACTGTATAGGGACGCTGGACCCGATTTCCAGCTGATTCACATTATATTATTGTATAGGGACGCTGGACCTGATTTCCAGCAGGTGCAACTCCCCACCAGTAGATGGAGTCTTCGATGCAGGGGCCTACTTAGCGAGGTTGCTCTTTTCACCTCGTTAAGTAGGTGTCCAACATGCAAAGTTCAAAAAAAAAAAAAAAAAAAATATTCTGGCAAGAATTTTCAAAAAAATAGAAAAAATCAAGCACAAAAAATCTTGAAAAATCACATGGACATCTCAACGCCCACTGTTCCCACAAGGGGAGGGGAAGAGAGGGAGAAGAACAATCCTCTCTCCCCATGGAAACTTCAGCGCCTATTGAAGTCTCGGATACCTATAAAGGGGTCAAAAGAGCCAAAGGGATTACCCCCCTCCTCCCCTGTTTATTTACTGCCTCCGGGGGTGAGGCGCCCCCTCACCTCCCCGCCCCAGTTCAAAACAGCCCCTAGGATACCCCTCCTGCTCCCTCAGTCGCATACAATACCCCCTACAGTATGCCCCCGAAGAGCAAAAGATCCTCCCTACTTCCTGCCCCACCCCCTCCAATTGGAACAACACTCTTAACTCTCACCCTGCTGACATCAACACCCCTTGTCCTCTCTCCCCAACCGCCATAGCTGATCCGACCCGAAAATCAACGTGGCCCAAGGAAGGACAACCCCTCAATATTGTCCCTGCCCTCTCAAAGGTCACACCACCCACCTTGTGTAACCCTCGCAGGGTGGGACTCCAACCCTAAAGGAGATTTCCACTCAATCACCTCTGACCCCGATCTCACAACATCACAGTTGAGACTCCCTTGCAAAACTACTGCTTGAGTAAAAACTGATTAGCATCGAATTCAGAAAATCCATCAAGATAGAGGTAAGATGGGAATAAGATAAATTACTCAGACAGTAAATCCGGGATCAAAAGAAGTTTGAATAATGAATTAAGCATCAAATTCAAAAAATTCAGGAAATCAATCGAGATGAAGATAATCGTGAAAATACGATTTGATAAGATTTGAGAATCCAAATAGGAAACAAAATAGGGAATCAATTCTGATGTCCAAACGGACTTACGACTCTGATTTCTAGAAGCCAAGGTTCAAGAAATCGCTCAGACAGTAAGTCAAGAATACTAAGTAGAAAAACAAGTTGACAATCAATTGAGTCAGAAAATACTAAGCAGAAAAACAAATAGGTTCAAGAAATCGGTCAAACAGTAAATCAGGAATACTAAGTAGAAAAACAACTTAACAATCAATTGAGTCAGGAAATACTAAGCAGGAAAACGAATCGACAATCATTTGTGTACGAGAGTAACCATAACGCTTCTAAAAACAGATCACGAAATCAACAAGAAAAATTACGAACTACCAATTGAGATTGACTAAAAAATCAGAATTACCATCCAAGAAATTACCTTCTAAGAAGAAAGAAACAACAACAAAATTAGGTCCTGCCTCAAGAATTACTGGAGATCCCGTCGCTGTGTGAAGTCGCCTTGAAACACTTGAAGTCTCAGTTCGTGCAAACCATCACGTAGCGCTCCACTCTCGTGAACCCATGATCCAGCTGCCCCGCCGTTGTAGCGTCCAAACTCAACTCCTGCCTCTTCCTGTGGGAGGAGCACGTTCGCCTCCCCATAGCCCGTGCTAATATAGCCCCTTGGCAAGATTTTTCTATAATTTATCGTATCACAATTAATTTTAATTTTTATTTATTTTTTTTGTAAATTAAATTAGATTATCTATTTAATTGATTATTATAGAACTATTTAGAGAAATCCTTGTTGACGCAGATTTACTAAACCCCTGCTAAAACCCTGATGTACCCTGATAGCAGTTTGATTGTACACACCCCGTACGAGTGCTGATCCACCAAGGAGAAGGCATGTGGGGGAAAACGATCCGGGAACTTGGAGAGGGGCCGAAGGTATCAATCATTGTCCAATCATGGAATGATATCTCAAACCAAGTCCTCGCAATCTTCCCCCTGTTCCCCCTTCCATACAACCTCTGCAATCCATCCTCACTGGTCCCCCCCCAACCAGGCTTTACTGAGTTGTTGGATGACTGTCGAGATACCGGTTTTACCGTCGAGGAAGTTCAGTTTGTCATTAACCGTATCCCACTGAATTGAGATATGCGTCTGAATGTGATGTTTGATTGAGTAAGTAAATTATGGTCCACCCACTCTAACCCCTTTCATCTCGAAAGTACATCTTCTCCACCAGATGGCTCAACACGGCGCTCTAAGACCTACTTTGAACACGTTGTTTACGTGGTGGCTTGCTTCTTTTCTTTTCCTTTCTTTCTTTTTTTTCTTTTTTTATTTCTAACTTCGTATGCGGGAAAAACCTACTTAACGAGGTGATAAGAGCAGCCCCGATAAGTAGGCCCTAGCATCGAAGGCTCCATCTATTGGTGGAGAGCTGCACCTGTTGGAAATCGGGTCCAACATTTTTTTTATTTTATTTTTTTAACAAAGCCCCTGTGCAAGGCCTTTGTCCTGGTGTTGGTAAGAGAACACCGGAATTGAGGCTTTGCCTGGTGGGCCGCTCCATCTATTGGTGGAGAGCATCACCTGCTAGAAACCGGGTCCGGCGTCCTTTGGTTACATCATTTCTTGTAAGACATAGAAAGAAAACATTAAAATTCAGAATGTGCCGCCTCTTTAGGCTCAAATAGCCTGCCAGATAATCAACTAGAAACTAGCTGCACCATTTTTTTTTTTGGGGGGGGGGCGGGGTTGAAACTTCGTATACGGGAAACCTACTTAACGAGGTGATAAGAGCATCCCTGGTAAGTAGGACCCAGCGCCGAAGGCTCCATCTATTGTTGGGGAGCTACACCTACTGGAAATCAGGTCCAGCGTCCCTATACAATGATGAGCATGTATTTTTTGAAAATTAGGTACAGCGTCCCTGTATAGTGATGTGATGTATCTGCTGGAAACCGGCTCCAGCGTCCCTATGCAGAGTTGTGTTGATAGCTCCATCTACCTATGTATGCACGTTAAGCAATATATGTCAGAAGCGAAACCCTAACAAAGATGTAAAATATGTGTGATGTTTGTGATGTATGTGTTCAATATTTATCAAAATCGAAACACGAAACTCTAAAAAGGATGTGATGTGATGTGATGTGTATGATCTTTATCAATCAAGATATTAATAGGAATCACTATCAATTATGTAATATGTATGTTCTAGACCTCGAGTTCCTATACCTATTGTCCAAAGGAGAGCAAGGACATTGATTACTTCCCTGCGCAAGGGAAGGATTTGCCACCTGCAAACTACTCCCTAAGCATCCCACCTCCCTCCCACGGGGCAATGATCAGCACCCCATTGCTGATTAATATTGCGGACCAGGCAAGAACAATCAACATCGATTTTCCTACTCGTATCCTCAACCAAACAACGAGGTTGAAAGGGGGGTAATGGGGGGGAAGATGGTAACACCAATCAACAATGAATATCCTACTCGTATCTTCAGACAGACAACACGGTTGAAGGGGGGGGGAGGGGGGGAAGATGGTAAGCTTCTTATCCGTGTCAACCCCAATCCCCACCACGCCAGCATGCAACCTCTCTCCCTTCCGGTTGATGCTCTCTACCCCGCTGCTGTCGTGGTAATCGTTGTCGCCGTCATCATTGTTGTTGCCTTTATCGTTGTTGTTGATGATGTCATCCTCAATCCCCACCACGTCCCGCTTGTGGCATCTCTCCCATCATGTTGATGATGGTATGAGATGCGTCACTCTCAACCCTGTTGCTCACGTCCGCTCGTGACATCTCACCCATCCTGCTGATGATAAACTTAGATGCACGGACATCGCTCTCCGCCCCGCCGCTGTCGTGGTCGTCACAGCTATTGTTGCTTTTGTTGTTGTTGCTATTGTTGTTGTTGTTGTTGTTGTTGTTGTTGTTGTTATTGTTGTTATTGTTTGCCCCGTTGTTGTCGTGGTCAACACTGTTGTCGTCGTCGTCGTTGTTGTTGTTGTTGTTGTTGTTGTTGTTGTTGTTATTGTTATTGTTGTTATTTTTGTTGGTGTCATTGATGCCGATGTTATTGATATTGTTGTTGTTGTTGTTGGCCTTGGTATTGTCGGTGTTGTCGCCGCAAATATCTTCGTCGCGATTATCTTCGCCTTCATCCAATCCGCCCTCCACCCAGTCATCCATGTCACCCTTGTGACCCATCTCTGGAGTTCCCTGTCGAGCCTTTATCTGGTTGCGAAGATTGCGGCCCATTATAATGAGGGCATTACAAGCACCCATCCTATCATTCGCCCTTCTCCAGTCGATGTAGGCCTCAAGTCGGGGATCCGGCCCCTCCTCCAACTCCCACATGATGTCTAGCATCTCCTGGATCCTGTCTGCTAACCACTCCTCCATAGAGATCTCTGCCCCCTCTTGCCGGAGCATGATCATCCCCACTATCGTTCACAACTGCTTGCACCCCTCGTCCAGTGTGATGAGCCATCCCTCTGCTCGATGTTGTAACTCCCCCACCGAATCCATCTCTCGCCCAACTAATTGCGCCACTCACACGGTTCCACTTATCAATCCACGGCTGGCGTTACCTCTGTACACGTGTCACAGGATGTTCTCCAATACCAAACCATTGCAATTCCACCAAAGATAGCGTGGATGGCAGGAACGGGATTGGGAATAGATTTGTAGATCTCAATGAACCTCTTGGTTGATGCCAAACCAGTTGTGTAAGGTAATCAGATAATCCCTTTTGAGTGAGACTCCTTCCCCTTCTTCACCTGGTCACAACCAGGGTTGTCGAGCCCCGGCCCCGGGGCCCCGGCGGGGGTGCGGGGGTCCGGGGGTGGGCACCCCTGGCCCCGGCTCCGGACCCCCCCCCAAAAAAAAATTCAAAAAAAAATCAAAAAAAAAAAAACCAGGGGGGGTGCGCAACGGCAGCCTGCACCCCCTGGGCTAAACTGCAAAAATGCAGTTTTGGCCCCACCTCCGGCCCCCCCCGGGGCTACACCCACCCCTGGTGAGCCCGGGGTGGCCCTGGGCGCGGGGCCG